AGAATCCAACTACCTGGGTTTTGGTCCTGGCTCTGCCTCATACCAGCTGTGTGGTCTTGGGCAGCTACTTAACCTCTCTGAGCCTCTGTTTGTCTTAAATATGAAATGGAGATGACAATGCTAGAACTTTACACATGACTTATGATGAGACTGGAAGCAGATAATGTGTGTAAAGCCACAGCAAACCCTCATTAATTAGTACTACATAGGAATATACAAAATGAAGGATAAAATATAAGGTATGAAGAAGAAAGTGTGTGTGTGTGCGCGTGCACACACACACACACACGCAGTGCTTACTGCATTTGTACCCTATAGTAGAAACTATTAGGTAGGCTATGCTTCGCTTACAAAACCCTCTAAATCTCAGTGGCTTATGTGAGACAGAGAGAGAAGAAAAGGAGGAGGAGGAGAGTTATAGAGAGAGAGAAAGAGAAAGAAAGAGAGGGAGAGAGGAAGAGAGAGAGAAAGGAGAAGAGAGAAAAGAGATAGCAAGAAAAGAGATAGAGAGAAAGGAGAAGAGACAGCTAGAGAGAAGAGAGAGAGAGGAGAAGACAGAGAGACAGATAGAGAGGTCTCTTCTTCATAAGCCATGTCGAGCACACATTGCTGGGTGGACACAGGTTATCTTATCCAGCCACAGTTGCAGAGAGGAAGAAGGAGGTGGAGAAACACAACCTTTCTGTTCATAGCACACCAGCCAGAACAAGTCACGTGGCCATGTCAAACTTCAGGGAAGTGGGGATATGAAATTCACTCGCTGCCTGGAAGTATGGGAATCAGATATTGGACAGTAACAATGAGAAGCACATGCCCAGAAACACAGATCAACCTCTTTCTGGAATTTCCCCAGGCAATTTTTGTGGCTCAGCACGTGGGCGAGAAGTGAGTCTCCTCCTCAGATGGAGGACACACCCCTACTAATAACCTCTCAGGGGCATCCCTATTTTCTGTCCTGCCTGGAATATGGGTGGTCTTGGAAGAAGTGTTTAACAGTTACTGATGACTATACAGTAATGTTGTTCAATAAGCTGTATGTTTAGTGAAATTCTTGACTTCTAATTTTTTGCTGTAATTTTTACTCAATGAGGTTCTCACTGTTAGAATCCATAGAAGAGATGCGGAGGACTTGATCAACAATTTCTAATGTGACATTTAAAGCAAATGGAAAGCTAGGCAATCTAATAGCCAGGGCTCACTAATTTTTACCTTTTAAGATTCATCTTAAATCCTCTCAATTTTTAATTTTTTTTTTGAGAGAGGGTCTTGCTCTGTCACCCAAAACTGGAATGCAATGGTGTGATCAGGGCTCACTGCAGCCTCCACCTCCTGAGCTCAAGCAATCCTCCTGTCTCAGCCTCCCAAGTAGCTAGACCAGGTGGCCACCACCAAGCCTGGTTAATTTTAAAATTATTTTTAGTAGAGACAGGCAGGGTCTTTCGGTTGCCCAGGCTGTTCTTGAATTTTTGTGCTCAAGCAATCCTCCCACCTCAGCCCCCCAGAGTGCTGGGTTACAGGTGTGAGGCACTGTGAGCAGCTTTAAATTTTTTTATATCATGAATACGTCAAACATAAGGAAATGCAGGATGATAGTACAGTGAAATCCCTTTTTATGGAGGCTTGATATCATTTCCCCGCTGCATTCTTCTTTATCCATCTCTAAAACCACGGATATTTTCTTACATAGTCATGATGCTGTTATCACACATAATAATTTCTGTTATCTTTTTTGAGTGAGTGAGTATAACATTTATTTGGGCAGCGTCGATTCCCATAAAACAAGATGGCTGGAACATACAGCAGCTCCCCTGACAGCTCCCATACTCCTGGCATTGTTAGAAGAACATTGCTGATTGCAGTGAATTGGCTCCCCTAGGTTTCTTCTCCCCCACGTGGAGCCTACTGGGTTGAGGCGGAGCATGGCAGATCAACATGCTTTAGTGAACGAACAGCCAGCAAAGCCGCGTTGGCTAATATTGACACCGCTAAAGTAGGGTGAAGGGCACTTGGAACAGGGCGCACACACATTCGAGCGCATAAACCTACTCCAGATGCTACCAGATGAATCTTTAAGTGTTGCTGTGAGCCTACAGATTCCATTTGGGAGTCAGCTATGGAAATGAGGTCAGAGTGACCCTTCTTGAGTTCCATTAAATGTAACCACGTTAAGAGAGCTTCCTTCCACCGGAATGCATTAGTAGGGCACTCTTTGTATGTAGAACTTCACTTTGAATTTATTAAAATCAACGGAAAAGCTTGTTTCAGCTTGAGGATCGTGTTTGGAACTTACTTTGCAAAATGTACTCTCTACACCAGCTCACTGGTCAGAAAATGATAGCCCTACTCTGAAGGACTAATAATAATAATAATTTAATTCTCACTGCAGCCCTCAGTGGTACGATTATTCTTTCCATTTTTCAGCCAGGAGGAGAGACGATGTAGTGGAGGTCAGAACTCAGACTCTGAAGCCAGACTGCCTCAGCATAAATCCCAGCTGTGCCACTTACTAACTGTGTGACGCTCTAAAAAATATATGTGTGGGGTTGGCTGTCCTTTGATACCCAGTCTATTATAAAATTTGCTAATTGTGTTAAAAAATTTTTGAAATTGGTTTGTTCTAAGTAGGATCCAAATAAGGTCTACAAATTGCTTTTGGTTGTTGTGTCTCTTAATTCTTATTCAAACTAGAAAAGCCCAGTATCTCCCGTATGCCATTGATTGATGGCAGAAATTGGGTCATTTGCCCTAGAGAGTGTTCCTCCTCCACACTGGTCTGTTTCCTTCCTTGCTGTGTTATTTCCGTTCTCCTTTCCCTCTGTCTTTCCTGTCCATAGGAAGTTAGCTCTAGATGCTTGATTTAGTTTAGATTCAACTTTTTTAGCAAAGAGATTTCATGGGTGGTGCTGAATCCTTCCTACCCCATTCTATGAACACATGCACGATGTCCCGTCACCCACGAAGCTTGAAGCTCAATCAAGCTTTGGGGGTAGGTAGTCACAGCCTGAGTAAAATTGTAAAATTCCTCACCTGTCTGTCATTGATGATGTGGCTCCAAGCAATCATTTTATTAGAGGTTATAAGAGATTTTTTCTAGAAATTCCTTACCCTTTCACATTCATTTGGTTAGATTCCTTCCATACAGTGAATGTGTCTGCATCAGTGAGGGCTATTTGGATACTCTCAAATACTGTTCATACAGGAAAGTCCGGGGAGATGCTTAATTCTTTCCTCTTAACTGCTCATTTTCAGAGTAGGGATTCGGTGCCCTAGTTAACTGCGAGTAGTGTCCAAAGAGGTTTCTTGTTTATTTGCATTTTTTGCTGGGTTTTTTTTAGGTGGGGGATAAAGACTATCTCTCAAATAATGGTGATGATGATGATTGATATGGCTAGACTTTGTGTCCCCACCCAAATCCCATCTTGAGTTATAATCCTTGAATTATAATTGTAATCTCCATGTGTCAAGGAAGAGACCAGGTGAAGGTAACTGGATCATATGGGCAGTTTCTCCCATGGTCTTCTCATGATAGTGAGCTCTCACGAGATCTGATGGTTTATAATGGACTTTGCCCTCTTTGCTCGGCACGTCTCCTTTCTACTGCCTTGTGAAGAAGGCGCCTTGCTTCACCTTCACCTTCTGCCATGATTGTAAGTTTCCTGAGGCCTCCCCAGCCATGCAGAACTGTGAGTCAATTAAACCTCTTTCCTTTATGAATTGCCCAGTCTCAGGTATTTCCTGATAGCAATGTGAGAATAGACTAATACAATGATGAACTAATTTTTTAAATATAATCATTGTGTTTCAATGAATTGCACTCACAATCCTTTTCACACTCACAGTGTGACATCTTTGACACATGGGGTCCTTTCATGTTGGTGTCTGTGTCGGTTTCACATGACCCATCAGTCTCCAATGGCTTCCTTGCTTCATGGCTCAACAAGATGTCCAGCTCCTCTTGTGTTTCCTTCCCTAGACTTGAGAGAAGTTGTTCCGTCCAAGAGCCTTGCTTCCTTCTACTAGGCCTATTGATTAAATTTTAAAACACGAAGTATGTGTCTCTTTATGTGCATTAGCCTGGACCTGAAAGGTGACGCCTATGTCTATACCCCAGCTCCAAAGCCTCCTACATGGTGGCTGGCTCCATTTCATCCCAAAGGTCTGGAAGGAATGAGGTTCCACGGTCCCCTTATAAAGCCTCTTGGATTCCAAATGTGGAAATTACTTTATTCTTGGTATTTCCCTAACACAGCTGTGAGTCTGAGAACTGACAGATGCAGTGAGATGTAAACCAAGGCATGAGTTAGTCAAAGAGAGATGCGGGAGTGCAAGCTCACAGGGCACAGAGGCCAAGGAGCAGTGAGACTTACAGGCAAGGATCAAAATGCTGGTGTCAGCCCTAAAAGACCATCCCCCTTTCTCTGGGAATGTCACCCTCTTAGAGGAGAATGCAACTTCCAGAAAAATTCTCAGCAGAGAGGGAGGGGGGGAACCCCTGGCTAGGATCCTCTGAGAACACCCACACTATCAATGTGGGGACAGACAGCACAGACAGACCCCCTCGTGTCTGTAACTTATATCTCCTGCCCTTTGGAAAGACAGACGAACTGCTTCGATGAATGAACCAGGAAATGTTCACGCCAAGTTCCCCTGAACATGAGCAAGGAGAAATCCAAACAAACTATAAATGTCAATAAACCATTTGCCAATGGATTCTTGAATCAATAAATGCTAGGAATCCAGGGAAGGAGAGCCCTTCTGAGATGCAGCATCGACGTTCTAGTTGAATAAGGGAAGACGGAGGTTTGATTTCACCGTTCAGACCCTCACTCAGCACAATGGATTGCCTTTCACCCAACATTCGTCTCTTCTTTCCCTCATCTTCCCACTGGGATGGAAAGAATCCTCCCCTCTGCAGCGGGGTACTGGTGTAGACTGAGGATTGAGCATCTAGCTAAATTTAAGCTCTGGGCTGTCGGCCATGTGCTGAGCAATGCTGTTCAATTAGCAGATCTTTCCTTTGTAAACCACGTGGTTGACTGCACAGTTTGTTTGAGTCTCTGCCATCAAAATAATTTTTATATGGGCAGTCACTGCTCAGTGTTCTGCAAGTCATTTCCCTTGCTTGAGACCATACAAGGTTAGAGTTTTTGTCTACTTCTTTCAAGGTTCAGCTAACTTGTTGCTACAGGTTTTTACAGACAATTCAAAGGAACCCAGAGTTCTGAGGTTCCCAGGAGAAGAAATGCGGGTAAATCAAACCCCTGGTTGATGTGCAGAAGAAACGAACAGGGAGAATCTCAGTGAGTTTACCCAGAGGGGCTTTACAACAGACTTTGCTCCAAAATCCTATGATCAGGCCAAGCCCTGATATTTTAAACAGACAGAAAGTTGGCCGGGAGCCTCCCTGAATGACTGTGCTGCTGATGTCATTTTACACCTGCCACAACCATCTATCTTCTGAGGGTGCAAAAACAAGTCTGAGATGGCTTTGAAGATAAGCACATTCAGGGCATGCTGACTTGCAAGCAGAGAGAGAGAGAGGGTGTGTGTGTGAGTGTGTGAGTGTGTGTGTGTGTGTGTGATCACAGCGGCGGGGCAGTATGTGTGGAAACCCAAGGAGAAAACAGCACCCAAAAAAGTTGCCTGGGGGGGCGGGGTGAATTTCGAACATCGCTCTAGCAGTGTTGTTTCTGCCACCTGTATCTGTCTCTCTTCTTCCCTTCTGGGGCCCCCTTCACCAAAACAAATGCCCAAATGTGGGCACTGGCAGGGTGGAATAGGTTATATGGTCAAACATCAGAGCTGAAGTTACTGCAGAGATAGCCAGGGTGACACAGACCTGACCTTGGGGGTCTCTTTGGGGAAGGGCCCCATCCCCTCCTTTATCCAGTCAGGAATGTAACACTTTGGAAGATTACTGGGAAAGGGGTTTTATTCTGAAAGCAGAAGTCATACATTCAGCTGGCAAAAAGCCTCCACTCGCACTGATAGGAAGAAGTTATGAAAATATTGAGAAAAACAGCTGTCAGGCGATTTCACAGCTAGACTTTTTGGCCTACCTTTTCCTCCTGCAAGAGGCAAGCTCCAGCAGCCTTCACACTCGTCTTGCATCACAAATGCCCAAATTGCTGTTGTTATCGATTCTCCAAGCTCCTGGCAGGTCTCAGGGGTCCGGGGAAACGTGAAAGGGAGCAGAGACTGGGGCTTGCTTCCAACACCCCTAGAGCTTCAGGTGGGGTGAGATCATGAGGCGCAGCTGCAACTCAGCTCTTCACAGCTTGTTTTCTGCTGACGTCACTGAGCTTGTTAGCAGCCCCTCACCTGGACTGGAGGCAGAATTAAGAATTAGCAGTCACAGGGCCGGGCACGGTGCTCAAGCCTGTAATCCCAGCACTTTGGGAAGCTGAGGTGGGCTGATCATGAGGTCAGGAATTCGAGACCAGCCTGCAACATGGTGAAACCCTGTCTCCACTAAAAACGCAAAAATTAGCTGGATGTGGTGGCACATTATGTAATTATAGCTACTTGAGAGGCTGAGGCATGAGAATTGCTTGAACCCGGGAGGCAGAGGTTGCAGTGAGCTGTGATTGCCCCATTGTACTCCAGCCTGGGTGACAGAGACCCCATCTCAAAAAAGAAATAATAAATAAGTAAAAGAATTAGTGATCATAGGTGCATCCAACCACTTGACTTCCAGGGCTGCAAGACTGTGCCCCATAGTAGTAGAGCTGAGAGACCATAGCTCTGTAAACATGGGTGGCAGGGCCTTGGCAGAAGGGTATCAGACGTGGGCTCAGTGGATCTCACCCTCTGGTGCCAAGGTGCAGTTTTCTGTCTTCCAGGCCTGCTCTGCCATAGGTGGTTTCTCCTTGCAACCATGTCTCCATCTTCCTGTCTCCTTCCCTTCCCCTCCTCCTTCCTCTCTCCCTCTGTGTACCTGGGATCTTTCCAGCTGCCACCACCTCTGCCTCCCAGGCCACCGACTCAATCAACTCACCTAGTGCCAGGCCCTGCTCCCGACACTGGAGACAGGATGGGAACAGGGCAAAGGGATCCTGCACTTCCACTGATGTGCGATGTTGGGGCAGACTGCTCGTCAGGAGGCAAAGAGCAGACGCAGTAGCTTCAAGAGGTGGGTAGCACAGTAAAGATGAAATGGAGAAATGAGACAGAAAGTGATGGTGGAGAGGGATTCATTGTTGTAGTCACTTTGGTCAACAAGGCATTTCTTCTTTTTTTTTTTTTGAGACAGAGCCTCACTCTGTCACCCAGGCTGGAGTGTAGTGGCGTGATCTCGGCTCACTGCAACCTCCACCTCCCTGGTTCAAGCAATTTTCCTGCCTCAGCCTCTGGAGTAGCTGGGACTACAGGCATATGCCACCATAGCTAGCTTTTTTTTTTTTTTTTTTTTTGTATTTTTAGTAGAGATGGGGTTTCATCATGTTGGCCAGACTGGTCTCGAACTCCTGACCTCAGGCAATCTGCCCACCTGAGCCTCCCAAAGTGCTGGGATTATAGGCGTGAGCCACTGTGCCCGGCCAAGGCATTTCTTTTGTAACTTCAGACTTGAATATTGAAAACAAGGTGGCCATGTGAAGATGAGGGAGAAGGTGTGGCAAGTGCAGATGTCTGAGGCAGCAGACAGCTTGGGGTATCTGAGACAGGAAGAAGGCTGGTGTGGCTGGAGCTCAGTCGGCCTAGGGCACAGCAGTAGAAGATTCGTTGGAAAAGTTGCAATGTGTAGGAAAGGGTTTGGGTTGGGTTGGGTTTGAATGGAAGTCATTGAGGGGGTTCAAGCAGATGAATAGTGAGCTATTATTTGCGTCTAAGAAAGCATCTGAGGCAGATATGGTGGTTCACGCCTGACACCCCAGGACTTTGGGAGGCCAAGATGAGAGGACTGCTTGAGTCCAGCAGTTCGAGACCTGACTAGCCTGTGCAACCAAGAGACCCTGTCTCTACAAAAAATATTTAAAACTTAGCAGGTCATGGTGGCAAGCACCTGTAGTTTACACCACTGTACTCCAGCCTGGGTGACACAGCAGACCCCCGTCTCAAAAAGAAGGGAAAAAAAGACCAGGTACAATGGCTCACACTTGTTTAATCCCAGCACTTTGGGAGGTCCAGCCTGGGCGACAGAGCAAGACTCCGTCTCTAAAGAAAAGAAAAAAGAAAAAAGCAGGCATCTGTCTGTGTAGTGGAAGAAGAATTGCAGAGAGGGTGGGATGGTAGCCGGGAAGTCAGCTGGGAGGCTTTGCAGGGGATGAGAGCAGCTTAGACCATTAGCATGGCAGAAGGTGGGGAGAGTAGGGGTCAGACCCAGTTTAGCCTTGAGAGTCACATTGGATGTAATGAAGATAAAGAAGCGAAATTTCCTTCCCTTCCCTCCTTCCCCCCCCAACTTCCCCTTCCTTTCTCCCTTCTCTTCCCCCATGTCTCCCTCCTCCTCCCCTTTCTCTCCTCCTTCTTCCTCCTCACAATGCTATGGTGCCATATACTGACAGTAGCAGATACAGGGTAGGGAAAAAAGAAAATCAAAAGAAGTATTTTGGCCAGAACTGCAGCCTCTACCCACCTTCCTGAAAATTGGAGAAGGCACTCCCTGTAGAAAAAGGTACCTTTTCTACAGTGTGGATAAAGCCCCACATGAGAGCTTATGGCTTTGCAAAGCTAACATTGGGCTGCATCTCAGCCCGTCTTCCTTCCATGGATGGCTGCCTTTAGGAAGTGCACAGGCTGGGCAACAGGACACGGTGCCCCTGGTCTGGGCGATATTAAGTCTGAGAAGCCTATTCAGCGTCCACGTGAGGATGTTAATTAGATAGCTGAGGATATGGGTCTGGATGTGAGGGAGAAACGGGGCTAGAGGTATAAATTTAGGAATCCTAACAGCGTGCCGTGTTTAACATCAGAGGACTGGATGAGGTGCCCGTTATATGAGGATGAGGAAACTTGGGGGGCTGAGGATGAAGCTTGGGACACTTCGCTATTTAGCAAGTAGAAGGAGGTAGAAAATGCTACAGAGACCCAGAATGAGCTGTTGCTGAAACAGGAGGATAACCTGGAAGGTAACAACCTAGAAACCTGTGGAGAAAATGTGTTAAGCGGCAGAGATGGGCTCCGCGGGATGTTGGCGAGAGTTGGAGTAAGATGAGGATGCGCAGAGCTTTTGGGAAGACAGAGATGCCGGGGCGCAGGGTGCTGGAAACGGAGGGGGCGGCTGAGCAGAGTGGGCTGGGGAGAGAGAAGGAAAACAGAGGCAGCCGCTTCAGACGTTGGGACCAAAAGGGTAAGAGAGAAAAGGAGGAGGTGGATCTGGGTTGGCTCTTTAAAGACAGGCGATCTTTAAAAAGATAGAGCTTCTTATACGCCGAAATGATCCAGTAGTGAGGGGAAAATTGATGGCTCAGAAGGGAGGGCAGATCCTGGGTGCAGAGTTCCCAGGAAGGAGAGGAAAGAGGGTCACGGGCCTGGAGGCTGGTGGAAGGGCGTGGCTCTCCACCGCTTGCCTCTTGCAGAGCCAGATTATGGGTTGAGAGTGGAAAGCATGAGGTGTGAGAGGAGAACACAAAGGATGACTTAGCAACCTACAGAGGGGGAAGTGAAGTGTGGGATTGCGGGGGCTGGTGCGGGCTCCCTGCGGATCTGCAGCCACCTGCAGCTGCAGGCACAGAGCTGGCCCAACTAGAAAGGAGGCCGAGAAGACCAGGGACTGCACGGAGTGTGCAGGGAAATAGCTAGAGCAAAGGGCACAGACTCTTAAAAACAACAACGACGAAAAAACGGGCTGGGGGAGTCTGCAGTAAACATACCAGAGTATAATTATGATTTTGAGGCAAACAAAACCTTTCTTAACTGAGTCACAGTGGGAGGAAGTATTAAGAGAGCTATTCAACGAAACTAAATATACGTGTGTATGTGCACACACACCAAAGGTACTGTCATGTGTATGTATATGCACACACACGCCAAAGATACTACTGTTAAGGGAAATTGCAAGCACTTATTTTATAAATGACTTTTCAAAGCACTTACTAAGTTCAAGCCGTGTAGCAAAAAAGTTATAAGCATTATTTTGATGTAATCCTCTGTACAGTACTATAAGTACAAAATATGAACTTTAAAGTTCATGTTTTTTTTTTTTTTTTTGAGACGGAGTTTCGCTCTTATTACCCAGGCTGGAGAGCAATGGCGCGATCTCGGCTCACCGCAACCTCCGCCTCCTGGGTTCAGGCAATTCTCCTGCCTCAGCCTCCTGAGTAGCTGGGATTACAGGCACGTGCCACCATGCCCAGCTAAT